TATATATATATTGCCTTTACACAAGTATTCAGCTCTTGTATTCAGACTGTTTGTCTCTTTGGGTTTGGTGCAACAGGGTTTGCACACCTTGAGATTTTTTTAATCCTCCAAGCTCTGTCAGTATAGAAGAGGAACAAGAGAGGATGCCCATTTTTATATTTCACCAGAAATGTGATTTGGGGTTGTCGTCATGTTGAAATGTGAACCTTTTGTCCAGTCTGAGGTCTTGAGCTCTGTAGAACTGGTTTTCATTGGGGGTATCTTTGTATTTTGTAACCCTTGACCACCTGACCATTCTGGTCCTCCTGTGCTTCATAGTTGAGTTGGAGATGAAAAGTTAATAGTTCCATCCAGACAAAACATGGAGAATTGAGACCAAACTGTTCTATTTTGTTTTTATAAGACCAGAGATTATGGTTCCTCACCATCTAAATGTCTTTCAATCTGCTTTCAAGTTCCACTCTGCACTGAGAAGAGACTTCTGTCTCGTCACTTCGCCATTTAGTCCAGATTGGCGGTGGTTTGAAGTTATGTTTGTATGGAGTGCGTTTGTGAAGATTAACAAGAAAACATGACTAAACTATAGTAACAGCAGGCTGCAACATAATCATATGTTTAAAGTGATGGAAAATCTGAAAACCTTCTGAATCTACTGTATAGAATGTGCCTGAAGTGTAAAAATGTAAAGGTGCTGTCTGGATGTGTTTGCCAGTGGTTACATGTATAAATCACAGCACTCCGAGAAATTAAAAATAAAATAAAATAAAAAATAACCTGGAAAAGTGCTCCATAAGTAAGGTTCTCTTTACTGCTGGATACACAATAAGACTGACAAAAATCACCTGCTGTTGTTCAAAGGCTTAAGGTTGTGACAAGAAAACCAGGAGTGCATTTTTATTCGCCTGCAAACATGTGGGCGTGAATTTCTCTTTATTTGCAGTTTGGAGATATTACTTGATCTGTGTGGAGTTTTGCTTGAAATTTTCAGGGTTTATTTATTTGAATCCTTAAAACAATGTTACATTTTTGTGGCAGAAAAATGAAAAGGGAGTTGCTGATGCCTAAAAAATCATGGCTTGGTTTTTCTGTTTGCTTTTAATTATCACTAGAAAACTTTTGTTGCTATGAGTCATTATTGTCCCCATCAAGCATGATGATTAATCCGTCCGGGAGTTTTCAGCTCTTTCCCTATTTTCAGGTGACTAATTAGATGATAAGAAAACACAGTCAAAAGAGGAGGAGAACAAGCAACAACTCAGTGTCAGAGAGGATGGTATCTGTTAGCTTTGAGACTGATGACATGCCTGTTGTCAGTGTGCTCAATGTTGATTTATCAGGTTGACTTTATCTTACTTTTAAAACTAAATGAGAGCAGATGTTAATAACTGATCGCAGTTGCTCGATCTTATCGTTTTTCTTTTTGAAGCATCAAAAAATTAACTAGAAATTAACCAGACACACTGAAGTTCAAAGGTTCGCAAAGGAGGTGGCTGGTTTACCAAAAACTGCTAAAATAGGGCTTCAGTCCAACATTCTGTTCTGATGTCTTTTACCATTTCAGACCCTGAAGGATCCAAACCTGTCAGCCAGAAAGGACTTCCAGCGGGAGGCGGAGCTGCTGACCAACCTGCAGCATGACCACATCGTTAAATTCTATGGCGTGTGCGTAGACGGAGATCCACTCATCATGGTGTTTGAGTACATGAAGCATGGAGACCTGAACAAGTTTCTAAGGTCAGAGCTTTGCTCAAAGTGCATTAGTTCACAATGAACATAAAAACATTCATGTTAGCATATATTTATGCCATTTCTGAAAAAAAAAAATATACATATATATATACAGTGG